AATTAACAATTAATCATCGGACAAGAATTCCGTGTCGAACGATTGAAGGACTGATTGACTGAGTGCGAGCCGCACGTACCTGCCCGCATCATCGCATGAGCTCGCTAATTAGTATGCAGATTAGCCGATTGTGTGCGCACGGCACGCACCTCCGAACCACACCTTTCCGCAAAAGATATGCTAACCTAATCTAATCATGTCCGATTAACCAACTCCCGGCGGGATTCCACCGAACACGCATATGTGGGCCTTTCCAATCAACACCTAATTTGCAGCGATAAGCCACCCCGCAGGCACGGTGCGAGTGGCAGAGCGCCATGCGGCCGCACAACGATCGAGCACTGCCTATTTGTAGTAAATAAGGTAGTACACTGACAGCTGACACACCTCCAACCTCTAGTCAGTCAGCGAAGAAAGTAAGCCATGCAACGAAGCGAGAAAAATCCCAAATATTTCAATCACCACATGTAATTATTTGTATTGACTGCAGCGGCGGAGCATTCACCTAACCCAACCGGGACACCTTCCAAGAAGTAGGCGACGAATAATGCAAGAAGAGCCGATTTTCATTCTCAACTCATCAGCCAGCGCCTGCCTACTATTGATGCACTTGTGGCTGTAGCCATGTAGTTAGGGAGTGAGTGCATCTCCCGCGGAAGATGAGTCACACCAACACACTCAATCCGATGAGGCGGCGGGTGGCGTGGATGACGTCGATTCTGCTCCCGCGCCCGAACTCGATTCGTTCATCATCATCATCATCATTATTGACTGCGGTGTGCGATGTGTAGTACAACCGCACGTAAACGTAATGCGCAAAAATTAGCAGTTTTCGAGTAAGTCCGATCCACGGCGGACTCACCAATACGATGACCAGCCGACGCGACGGTGCAAATCGCGAAACGGTGCGCGCGGGCAATCAATAACAACAGCACCATCAGTAGGTAACGACACCGACCGCTGAGGGGGAGGAAAATTTGCATCGATACATACTCGCTTGCTGAGATTGGGCGCGAGAAAGAGAGAGCGATGTGACAGTTCAATGGACGTTCTCTGCTGGCGTCGCTCTCTCGAAGCAAAACTGCTCTCCGCTTGTTATTCGCTCGCGCAAGCCAACAGCCCCAAGCCACTCAGTCATCCACTCAGAGGAAGTGCGAGAGCTGATCGAGGATCGAGTGTGCGAAAAACACACACCTCTTTTTGACGGCTCCCGTAGGATGGGTAGGTAGGGCTTCTCCTGAATGTGATGCTGCTGTGATGATTGACGGTTTGATGCGAGCGGTGTAACATGAACGATGTTGTCCTGATTAGAATCACTTTTCAGCATTCACCTAGCAGGGTTGATCGGAGGTCTTTGCAAAATAATAGATGGCATTTGTCTTTGGGGTAAGACAGCTTTCGATCATGAATAACTCTGAGTAACTTGCATTGCTCAACATCATCTACACATAGAAAGCTTGTTGTTGTGTTGAAATCGATGCTGTCAAGCAAGATAATTTACGTATTTCAACATTTTAAGCGGTGCCCTTCCAAACGAAAGCTTAACCGAGAAGATATTTCGCCTATGAAAAGGCAATTGCACGCACGAACCAGCCCGAGATGATTTGCTTAACTGCCATGCCGATGACGATCGATTAATGCAAACATCTCCGAACTAGCCTAGAAGTGATTCCTGACAATTCTCAGGAAAGATTCCATACACTCCCGGCTTCCGGACAATATCAGATGCGACTTCGGGCAATCCCAAGAGGGATTTTGGACAGTCAATATTGAGAGGGATTCATGGCAGTTCAGAGAGGATTCCAAACAATCGCAGGAAGGATTCCGGGTAATCCCAGGCAGATTCCAGACAATCTTAGGGAGGACTACAGTCATTCTGCATCCCTTCGACTCGTTGACTCGCTCATGTAAGTGTCGGAATAGAATCAACTGTGAAGTTGGCCAAACCTAATCTATTGTGACCTGGGATGAACAGCTACATAATCAATGTTCCATTTGTGCTAAATGTGGATCATACCATAACTCCTAATAATGAAATTTCAACCAATTTTTCTAGCTAAATATTCCTAAATATTTATATCCCTCTTCCGTTACGGAAGCTTGTAAATGTGATTTGCTGGTCACTGAACACCTCAATTATAACTAATTATTAATAATTTCGAGCTTCCTCATGCCTGAATTAATTAAAAGGATGAGAAGCCTCGTTCACCGATTTTGAGAGATTGAGTATTAATTTTCATGAGCTAAAATAATCTTCCCATAATATTAGGTTCAATTCCAACTTCCTTGGTCTTGAAATCACACCACCACATCAACAAGTCCTTTGCAGATTATCAATCACTAGAAAGCAAAAGAGGCCTAGGGATTCCCTGGCCTGAACAAGAGCAATCTTATTTGGATCTTTTAATGCATGAAAACTTAATATTGCCGTTTAAAGGAAAACAATTCGAAGTAACTGACAGTCACAGCATGCTATTAAAGCTGATAATCTGACGCCAAATGCTAATTTACCTCTGAATTGGCGATATTTAAACAAATCATTCTGTCAGACGACGGTTGTTTCCAGAGCTTCCTATGAAGAAAAATACAAGACTACTTTGTTAATTTTTGGGTAAATATGAGCAACTCAAATATTTCTACTCTAAATACAGCTGTCTTGCCCCTTGGAATTTGCAATGTTACTCTTAGGGACCATCCATAAATGACGCAGTACCTCCTCCCCCTCGTAGATTATTGTTTAATACCTAATATTATTTGTCACTCCGCTCACCTCAAATCCCTTAGAACCCTTAATTTTATTATAGGAATAGACATACAATTATAGCTAGAATACGGGTAAAACTTTTCTTTAACCACCTCGCCATACAACTACAAAATACTTATTAATGGGATATTGGCTATTCAGTTTTCCGTGGATCAAAACGATACGATGTTTTATGGCCGAATTCAGATCTTTGGACTTGGCCTTCTTCAGGGCAGTGTTTTAGCGTCTTTTGTTCAGCACAAAAAACTTACGATTAAAAACTAAAACTAGCCCTTATGATGATCGCAAGCCCTGATCCGAAACGTTGGCTATGCTGAAACTGTAATAAACACTTTTTCTTGAGCTGAAGCCAAATTTCTAATTCTCAAGATCTTTAGACTTCCCTGAAATTTTGATCCTTAAATTTCAAGTTGCTGAAACTTGATTGTGACTGACATAAGTTGCATAGAAGTTACAAAAACCGTTTTGCGACAAGTGTGCTACTAGAGTAAACTTTTGATTTTCTGATTTTCTGATTTTCTGATTTTCTGATTTTCTGATTTTCTGATTTTCTGATTTTCTGATTTTCTGATTTTCTGATTTTCTGATTTTCTGATTTTCTGATTTTCTGATTTTCTGATTTTCTGATTTTCTGATTTTCTGATTTTCTGATTTTCTGATTTTCTGATTTTCTGATTTTCTGATTTTCTGATTTTCTGATTTTCTGATTTTCTGATTTTCTGATTTTCTGATTTTCTGATTTTCTGATTTTCTGATTTTCTGATTTTCTGGTTTTCTATTTTCTAATTTTCTGATTTTCTGATTTTCTGATTTTCTGATTTTCTGATTTTCTGATTTTCTGATTTTCTGATTTTCTGATTTTCTGATTTTCTGATTTTCTGATTTTCTGATTTTCTGATTTTCTGATTTTCTGATTTTCTGATTTTCTGATTTTCTGATTTTCTGATTTTCTGATTTTCTGATTTTCTGATTTTTTGATTTTCTGATTTTCTGATTTTCTGATTTTCTGATTTTCTGATGTTCTGATTTTCTGATTTTCTGATTTTCTGATTTTCTGATTTTCTGATTTTCTGATTTTCTGATTTTCTGATTTTCTGATTTTCTGATTTTCTGATTTTCTGATTTTCTGATTTTCTGATTTTCTGATTTTCTGATTTTCTGATTTTCTGATTTTCTGATTTTCTGATTTTCTGATTTTCTGATTTTCTGATTTTCTGATTTTCTGATTTTCTGATTTTCTGATTTTCTGATTTTCTGATTTTCTGATTTTCTGATTTTCTGATTTTCTGATTTTCTGATTTTCTGATTTTCTGATTTTCTGATTTTCTGATTTTCTGATTTTCTGATTTTCTGATTTTCTGATTTTCTGATTTTCTGGTTTTCTGATTTTCTGATTTTCTGATTTTCTGATTTTCTGATTTTCTGATTTTCTGATTTTCTGATTTTCAGATTTTCAGATTTTCTGATTTTCTGATTTTCTGATTTTCTGATTTTCTGATTTTCTGATTTTCTGATTTTCTGATTTTCTGATTTTCTGATTTTCTGATTTTCTGATTTTCTGATTTTCTGATTTTCTGATTTTCTGATTTTCTGATTTTCTGATTTTCTGATTTTCTGATTTTCTGATTTTCTGATTTTCTGCGAAGGGCCGAATCTTAGATCCATAGGCCACATTAAAGCCATTTCCCCTATGTGCTGAATGATTACACATTTGTTTGTTTTTAAGATGACCATCACTGGCTTGGACGATCCCATAGAAGACACGACCGAAACTGGTGGAAATTGATAAATCCATTTACAACCCACAATCGATGTCCATGAATCATAAAACTGCGAAACGGCCATAATACCTCTACCATGTCTTCCAAGCCAAGCTTAAGCGCCTCTGCCAATCTTCGTTATCAGCTTCCAGCTTTGAACCGATTAATGCTACCGTTTCGTATCACTAAAGAACCGCAGTCATCGCGGCGCGTCGTCCCCATCGGCCAGTATGGAAACCAATCGTGTGGTTTTGAGTGCCACCCCATGATCTCTCAGCCGCCGACCAACCTGAAACCACCCACCCCACCCAGCCCACTGAGATTTTGCGGAGAGCGAGAGGAACCCCACTCGCGCTCGTTGCCAAAAGAGCCAAGCGAGAGCGAGAACGGTGCGCCTGAGTAGCGCAACTCCCCGCAAAGCGGCTTGCTACGTTGGGTTGAGTCTGAATTGAACCACCGGAGGAACGGCAGTCACCTTTAGCTAACCGCGAGCAGCATACGCAAAATTTTCCAAGAGCTTCGCGCAGCAGCAGCAACACAATCCGATCCGTTTGAGGTTGGGTGCATTGTATAGAGAGTGTGGGGGAATTTAAAAAACTCATCCGCCGGATCAGTCCCGTCGTCGCAATCGGGTTCGGGTTGAACGGGATCAGTCTAGCAGCGGACGTTCCGCGAGTAGTCGTGCAAGCGTTTTTCAATAGTATACCTAGTTAGGTAGTTAGTTGTTGGGCAAAGAACTCCCCGCCTGACTGGAAATTGTGCATTTCGTTGAACGTCACACTGCGTGTGACACTGTCGGAGTGCGGAGACGCGAAAAGTGCCAATTTTCCCGAAGGAATTTTTCTTTTCTGTGCTGACTTTCGTAAGAATAAAACACGAAGGTAGTGACGAGAGAAGCAGCGAGTGTGGTGTGGTGTGTTGTTGGATTTGACCGACGACGGGAGAAGAAGGCGAAGGAAAGTGTCACCGTCGTCGCTCGTCGACGGTGTTGTCACAAACACTTCTAGCCCCGTAGTCGTTGTCGTCGTCGTCGTCTCGAGAGCTGTCACAGCCAGCAGAGATAAAAAAGAAAAATACGCGACACACAGTCGTAGGAGAGACTTTGCAGCTTTTATGTAACATGTTATCGCAAAAAAGACCAAACCGTGCGACGGCAGCAGCAGGAGCAGCAACACATCGGAAGTGAGATCCCATAATATCTAGAGGTGGATCCAGGTGGGTTTTTGCAAAGCCCTCGGGTGACGCGTCCACGTGCTCGGTTATTTATTTTTTAAGGCGAATCCCTATACTGTCGGTTGTTTGAAGAAAATAAAAAAAAAGAATACATAAACGACAGCGACAATAACAAATCGCTAGGAATCGAGAAGAGAGTGTTCGGTGTGAGTGTGGTGAAGGACGAGAGGACTAGCCCTGATTTGGTAGGTCCTGGAAGTAGTAGGCGGTAGACGAGATAGTGTTAAAGAATCAGAAGAAGAAGGAGGTGTGAAAAGTAGCCCGTACCTGCTGAGCCGAGTGTAGAGTGTAGAGATTAGAAGAGGCGCGTTCGACACCGACTAGGCAGCGACGCAGCGCAGGGTTGGAAACCGCAAGGAGGAAGGGAAGGAAGCAGACGTGAGGTGAGCACAAGAAGAGCAAGAGAGCTCTCGGTCGCATACTCGACGACGACGTCCAAAGAGTGTGTAGACCAAAAGGAAGCAGTATCCTAGCCGAGCGGTGCATTTCAGTTTCGACCGCCGAGCGACGAAGCAGAACAACATTTAGAGACCCCGACGTTTGCAGTAGAGCAGAGCCGCGTGCGCGTATTGGAGCAGGTCATGATTGGCGCTGGTGTGACGATTACTCATTTATATTTATTAAACACATCATAGTAGCCCGCGACATCATCGCTGCGCGTATTGTTCGCTTGTGCCGCACATGCGGGCATCCAAATTCGCCGCCGGGTCGCACAATAAATCGCAGTGAGCGTTGTTGGCCTGAGTTGTACGAATCGCGTATAAATTTAAATTTTTTCCCACGACAAGTTGATTTCGACTCGCGACCCAGGTCTGTCTGCTGTGACCGAGCAGCCCGAGAAGAAGAGCGATCGGGGCGCGCGATATAAATATCTATATGGTGGAGAATAAGAAGAAAATGGAAGAACCAAAGTGTCTGCCAAGTGCCTAATTTGTGCCCGAAGCTTGTGTGTTTTTTTTATTCTGTCTGTTGGTGATAGAAGTGATTGAAGAATTGCATCAGCAGCAAGTGGTAAACGTGTGCTAGCGAAAGAGAGAGAGAGAGAAAAAGATTACTCTATCGATAACAACCGAATATAGAATACGAGGTTCTAGATCCTCTTAGTTTTTAGTGTAAATACAAGTTCTGAAGAAGGAATAGAAAAAAAATGGCAGTTTCAGTGAAAACGGTGCTATCGACGTTGCTGGTGGCCCTGGTGGCGACCCTGTTCGTCCCAGCGGAAGCCCGCCGACAATCGCCGCAGCTAGTGGAAGAAGAAGGAGCTCGCCGGAACCGACCAGCTGGTAAGTCGTTAGTCACGCGATCAATCGACCAATCAATCAATCGCCGGACCACACCCCCAAAATGCCAAAGGGCTCGATCGCCCCAGAAGTGCTCTTAATTTAGCCGTCTAATTTTGAAACCGACTTCCTCGATTCGCTCGAGCGCGCTGGGATGCTTACCTGAGCGCACATTGCGCTCAGGTATTTGCAGCATCAGACAGAGACACATCTGGGAAATCACGCGATTGGCCGTGACGTGCGGTCGAGCCGCGGGTTCGCCGCCCCTTCGGTTCATCATCATCATCGCCGTCGTCGTCGTCGCAGCCAACTGCGACGACGACGACAATTTTGTAGATGATCCCCCAACATAGTAGGCCAGTTTTGCACGTGACAGTTTAAATTCAGCTTGTTAAAACGAATATGCAACGTCAATTGTCTGGACCGCGCCGGCCGTCGTCAGGTCGTTTCGCTCCGTTCGATCTGATGGTTCCACCATCAGCTAACCGCAAGCTTCCCTCGGTGTCGGATTTCCTCGGGTAGAATCGTTCTCGGTACCTAGCTGTGAGGCGCGGAAACCTGTTCCCCGTTTGATGCAAAGGGTGGGGGGAGGGGATGATCTCTCTCGGATACGCTGCGCCCTAGGGCAGAGCGCCGATCGTTGGTAACCGATTGACGAAGATTGGAAAAGTTCCGCTCTTTTCGGGGGAATTACGTTCATTTGACACGTTCAGCTTGGATGATTTCGATGATCGTACAATGATGAATGCAAATTTTCGCCAGTTTGCATTTGACGCAACGGAAAATATTTTGTCATTCTTCGATCTACACTGCACCAAAACATCAGTCTCTGTTGAATGCTGCACCTTTTTGAATGTTTCTTAGGCTGTGTTTCATTTGGTGAATTTTCACTTAAATTTGACAGATGGAAAATTTTCAAATAAACCTGCTATTGTACCAGACTTATTTCTGACAGATAATTAATGTTGACTTCTCAAAAATCAGACGATCAACTACAGAGGGATTTTCGAACATCGTAATTTAATTTCTGAGCGTCAAATTTAGGTTAAAATTCACCGAATGGAACACAGCCTTAAACTTCTACGCAACGCAGTTTCCCGACCTTGCACGAAGTTCTCTGAAGATCTACGAAGTTCTTTAAATTACTACGAAGTTTCCTAAATTCAGATTATGTTCCATGAAATATTCTAAACTTCAATAAGAACGCAATTTCATTATACAGGGTGTCAACTACCTGGAAAAAAAACTGGAAAATCAGGGAATTTAATTCAAATTCAGGGTAATTTCTGTATAATCGAAACTTATTACTAAGTATGACTGACTTCACCAGTTTCAAACAACTTAATTACTCGTTTGAGGATGGCTTTGCATTTCAAATTGTTAATAGAGTTGCGAACTTGTGGTTGTTCAATGCTTGATGTTTCATTTTTGCTAGTTGGGTGTTGTCACATTCCTGAGTTGAACTGAGATGAAAATCCATTTCCGTATACGCTAGACGCTGTTAGTTGTTGCAAATTTTAAGCTGCTAATGGGTATGTACGTTTCTTAATAGATGTTACGCCTAATTACGTCTGACAAAATTTAACCTTGGAGTAGATTGGTTCGTCGTCTCAATCCAGTTGTGTCCAACAAAAATCAATCCCTTGAACGCATTGGACCGCCTTTGAGTAAATACAAGAACTTTAAAGAGTTAACCAGGGCTTCGGGCAAGTCTATTGACTTGACCGCGAATTGAACGTGTAAACAATGCCATTAAACTGACTTGATCAACTCACCTGAATTGAAAAAAGTTGAACCAGACTCAACTTTTCAAGCCAATTGCGTTCAACTGAGTTGATCATTTGACTTGCCTAGTCTAAACCCAGCTTTAAGCTTAAAGCTGGGTTTAGACTAGGCAAGTCAAATGATCATATCAATTGAATTCAATTGGCTTGAAAAGTTGAGCCTGGTTCAACTTTTTTCAATTCAAGTGAATTGATCAAGTCAGTTGAATGGTATGGTTTACATGTTCAATTCGCGTTCAAGTCAGTTGAATTCAACTGAGTTGATCATTTGACTTGCCTAGTCTAAACCTAGCTTTAAGCTGGGTTTAGACTGGGCAAGTCAATTGATCAACTCAGTTGAATTCAATTGGTTTGAAGCGTTGAGCCTGATTCAAGTCAGATGAATGGCATGGTTTACACGTTCAAGTCAGTTGAATTCAAATGAGTTGATCAATTGACTTGCTTGCCTTGTCTAAACCCACCTTGAAGAGAAGATGATGATTTTTTTCGATCGATTTGATCGGTATTGTGTTCTCAACAGCTTGATTAGCTCAGAGAACTAACTAAATGAGAATTTAGTATAATGATCTTGTTGGGAGGAATTTGTTTTTCGATTGCTTGGAGTATCCCTTATATGATTGAATAATGATTTAAAGATACGTAGACAAGCATTGTCTTGGCGGCATAGTGACTTAAGTGAGTATTCGAGGTCACAATTTAGATGGAATTAACTTACAGAATTTTGGAGGTGAAAGCGCTGTTTTTACGAGTTCCCACTGGAGGCATCCGCCCGCGAATCAATTCTCGCGGATTATAATCATCGGAAGATGACCGTCGGTAACCACGCGTATAGTAAATACTGACGGCGTATAGTAAACTTGGTTAAGCGTTAAGCGTATTATTTTCTTGCGGAGCTGGGTCTCAAAATGTGCTCAAGGCAAAAAAATATATAATGGGATTAAAAACAAGTGTTTCATATGCATAAACCAAAAGATCACAAATCTGGAAAAAGGTACCTCGTCCTCTTTTTGAAAACAATACGATTTCAAGACTCTTGGACTGGACTAGATTTTCAAGATCCACTCACTTTGAAGAACTTTTAAGATAATTTTGTAATTTTTTCCAAATCAAATAAGAGCCGATTTGAAAATGAATTCTAGAGATACCACCAAGGTTTCTAAGCGAGTTTTTACTAGAACTCCCAAGAGTGAAGAGGATTCCAGGATTCGTAAAAAAATACCAAGGGAAGTGAATTTTGAGGGTAAAATATAAAACTAATTATCCGAAGATCTATAAGGAAATTCCGGGGATAATTCCAAGCGCATTTCGAATGGAATTTCCAGAGAATTTTAATAAGAATTCCATGCAATTCCCAGAAAAAAAAAAATAGAGGAGAACTCCAAGATAATGATCAGTAAAATTTGACGACAATTCTCAGTGGGATAATTTCCCCTGCTTAATGGTGTTGGCAGAGAATGGGGATTACAAGTTTTGCTCACAAAAACTAATAGGCTCTTTTCAATTGTTGATCGAGAATATTTTTTTAAGTGTTTTACAGAGAATTTCTGGAATGTTATAAATAAATGTTCAAGGGACCTCCAGAGAGAATTTTAAATTTATTTTAGAAGAATTTTGAAAAGAACTTTCAATCAAATAAAATCCTGTAAAGTTTTAGGCGAAGGCTTAGAACGTGTCGCAGAACCAAATTCAAACCAAATGCGATGCTGTCTTAGAAATGACACATTCAACCTTTGGCTCAATCGTATTCAGTTTTATGCTTAATTAATCATTTTGTTCGACCATTTTCCACAGAGAGGGCGCTGTTCTGCTGGTAGGAAGTGATAAAAATCGGTGCATATTCAGGTCAAAAAAGTAAACGACAACCTACTGCAATTAATCAGGGACTTTGTAGTTCAGTTTTTTCCCAGAAATTATTGTTAAACAAGTAACAATTAAATAAAAATAATTTTTCCCCATACAGTTTTACCTGGTTTAAAACCAGCTCCCAGAGAGCCAAAAAATTCAAATTTGAGAGAGAAAATTTGCTCTCACGGCCTCAATCTCTCAACATGCCATGTATTTTGTTGACACTCGATTTGTGAATTCCCTTTCACAGATTACAAAATAGAGTACCTGACACTACAAAACATGTCTGGTACCTCTATATAGGCATTTGCTTTAACATTTGATGTCCCTCCTTTTTTACATATTCTGCGCAAAAGATACTTTATGCCCCGCCCCATACATAAAATTCGGCAGGAAATTCTGTGAGGAGTGAACTATTTTGTGTGCAGAATGTGGAGGAGGGACTTCGAATAATAATTTAAATGGATATATAGAGGTACCAGACATGTTTTGCACTGCAGTGTCCTCTGTGAACAAATATGGGAAAGCAGATTGTGCCTAGTTTCCGATGGATGTCACCGCAAACAACAGCTGTGACATCTGATGGAACATCAATGCAGAAGCTTGACAAAATGATCAATTCAACTGTATATCGGCAAACTGTATTTTTTTGCAGTCTATACAATGTATCGAGTGAATACCAGAATGTTCAGAAACCAGGGAATTTAGTTTTCTTCATTGAATCGACACCCTGTTATAAATCGGAACACCCTCCGGTCGCAAATGTGAAAATTGAAGCCATGTGAAGACTCGAGAGGATCTATAGTATAAGAAGCGGACTGGCTGGCTTTGGCCAAACGTTCCATGCCACAGCCAACCGAGCAGCGCCCTTTGTTGATTGCATTGGCAGTGTTGCTAGAACCCACCTAGACATAGGTTGCCAAGGTAGTTTGTTATGAATTCGCTCCCCCCTTTATCCTAGACCCTCTCTAATGGAGACGTTTCGCCCATGTTTAGATGAAGATGTTTTCTTTTTTGGTCAGCGGACCGTTTGATGGGTAGCTTATCGCCAGCAGTTGCCTTCTCCGCAGTAGCTGCCTTGTTGGGACGAGTTGCACAATCTACGCTACCGGCAACCAAATCACACTCGTTCATCACATCTTTTGCATTTTTGTACGTCTAGATGAGAAAATGTTTCAAGGACGTGGAGTCTACAGGCAAATGAGAGCGACCCAAATTTGAGTTTAGTTAACTCATCAATCACCTTAAGTGCAGGAGCTCAGCGATGAGTAAATTTGCCTTCCCGAATATGAGAAAAGTAAAGATTTGATTCACTCAATCTAAGTAAATTTTCGTCAATTTTCCTCATTTTTCAGCAGATTTTTGAGGCTTTCC